GCCCCCCGATGCCCCCCAGCCCTCCGCCTCTTCCCGGGACCAGGCTGGCGGCTCCCGGGAGCTTGCCCGGGACCGCAAGTGGTGGGCACCCGCCTGGTCTAGTGCGGACATCGTGGACCTCATCCACGACCTCCGCACTAGGCACAGGAAAGTGTCCGTCTAGGGCAGGAGAGCTGCCAGCCTGGCCACCCAGGAGCAGGTGTGCATGAAAATCAAAGGGGTCCACTGAGACCCCCGACCCTGAGCCCTGAGCTTACAATGGCCGTCCTGGGTCAGACCAAAGGTCCATCTAGCCCAGTAGCCTGTCTGCCGACAGCAGCCAACCCTAGGGACCCTGAAGGGGATGGACCGGAGACAATGACCAAGCCATTTGTCTCGTGCCATCCCTCTCCAGCCTTCCACAAACTTTGGGCAGGGACACCACTCCTACCCCCTGGCTAATAGGACTCCATGGACCCAACCTCCATGACTTTATCTAATTTCTCTTTAAACTCTGTTCTAGTTCTAGCCTTCACAGCCTCCTGCAGCAAGGAGTTCCACAGGTTGACTCTTTGCTTTGTGAAGAACAACTTTCTGTTACTAGTTTGAAGCCTGTTACCCATTCCTTTCCTTTGGTGTCCTCTAGTCCTTCTTTATGGGAACTAATGAAGAACTTTTCTTGATGCACCCTCTCCACCCCACTCATGCTTTTATAGACCTCTATCCTATCCCCCCTCAGTATTAGCAAAACGCTAATTCGAACTAGTGTTTTAGTCTGGATCCATTAGTTCGAATTAGCTTAGTTCAAATTAACTAATTCGAACTAAGTTAGTTCGAATTAGCGCTGTAGTGTAGACATACCCTGAGAACTGTTATCCAGCCAGTTATGCACCCACCTTATAGTAGTCCCATCTACGTTATACTTCCCCAGTTTATTGATAAGAAGATCATACTAGACTGTATCAAATCCATTACTAAAGTATAGGTATCCCACATCCACCACTTCTTCCTTAGCCACAAGACACGTTATCCTATCAAAGATAGGATACAAATCCATCTTTACAAATCCATGCTGGCTGTTCCCTATCACTTTATTATCTTCCAGGTGTTCACAGTTGAATTCCTTCATTCCTTACTCTGTTATCTTCCTGGCACAGATGTTAAACTGACTGGTCTGTAGTTCCCTGGGCTGTTCTTATTTCCTTTTAATAGATGGGGCAGTAGATTTGCCCCTTTTCAATCTTCTGGGATCTCTCCCAACTTCCATAACTTTT